CACAGCAGGAAACGTAACGAAGCCATTGAAGTGAACACAGGAGTAAGACAAGGCTGCCTCTCTTACCCAAAATGCTATTCCTAATTGCTGTGGACTGGGCTTTGTGGAAGGCTGTTAGAAGCGAGAACACAGGAAAATGTTAGTCCGACAAGAAGATTCTAGAAGATCCAGGTTTGATGGACGATTTATGCTTTATGTCACACCAATTCAAAAACTTACTAGAGGAAATCAACAAACTGGCTGAAGTAGCTGGTATCGAAGATAGGACTTCAAGTGAACATGGAGAAGACGGAGTTGACGAAGATAATTGACCAACAACAAGAACCACCAACCACTACCAGTGGAAGAAATCTGAGAGGTCACATCATTCCGTTATTTAGACAGCTTCGTTTCAACTACAGGCAGTGGGCGCGGATGAGTATGTCAAAGCCAGTCAGGATTGGAAATGCAGGACAGACCTTTATCACTCTGAAGTCGGTTTAGAAGTCTTCCGCACTTAGCATGAAGACGAAAATTCGAATTTTCAACACAAATGTTAAGACAGTTGTTCTATATGAAACAGAATCTTGGCATGTTACATCCAATAGGCTACTGCATACTATCAACAAAATATGTTTTCGTCCCATATTCAATATCGGATAGCCAGATAAAAACTAACAACAAGCCAGTCTGGAAACGAACCAATTAGGAACCTATTACTCAACAAATAGGTGGAAGAAAGTGGAGATAATGAACACAAGCTAAAGAGACTGTCGAATGGAACGCCAGTGGGTCGTTCAAGGGTGACATTGAAGAGATCGTGAGAGAAGCAAATCAGGAACTATGAACATTTTTAGGGCTAGCTAAACAGGACCACATAAAATAGGATTAAGTGGAGATGTGCTTTTGAAAGAGTATGTTTCACTCAGAACCCAAGGGAACAAATATTAGTGGTAATAATAATGGTAGTTTTGCTTGCAATTGTATTTCAAATGGTAATGAAATTTCATAATTCCCTGACTAGACAGTCAGCAAATAGTCATTTCGAAAGACAAAAAGGACTATAAAAGAAAGTCGCAGATCTACTTGGTACCATAAGTGGTAATCAGCAAATGAAGAATATTTGCAAAAAACCATATATACTACTGATGAACTCAGATAAGTAGTTGCATACCACTAGCATTAATCAGCAGTGCTTACTGGTCAGCCAGATCCAAGTGGTCTGGAAACCAGTTTGGAAATCTTCCGCACTTGGCAGCCTAAGGAACAAGATTCCGATTTTCAACACAAATGTCAAGTCACTTAGTCAGCCCTTCCATATGGGTCAGACACTTGCAATGCGTGTGCTCCACAAAAAGGATTTTGAACAAGTTACGGACTTTTATCTACAACTGCCTCCGGCCAGCCTGCCGGCCATTAAGAATTAGCAATAAGAAACTCTGGCTGGAAACGAACCAACCAAGATCCTATCGTTCAGCGAATATGTAGGGGAAAATGGAGATGGATGGAACTGGCATAAGTTCAGGAGGCTGTCGACTGACATCACGTGCTAGGCAATGCCTCGAGTGGAATCCTGATGGGTGAGGGTGACATGGAGGAGATCTTGTGGTAAGGAGGTGTGAGACTACGGTCAATCGTGGACCCAGCTTAAGAGGACAGCAGAAAATAGAAGAAAGTGTAGATGTGTTGTTGAATCCCTGTGTTCCACTCGGAACCCAACAGAATAATAATATTATAATAATATCTCATGATAATGACCGATTCTCTAAATCCCTCAATTTTGCCAATCATTTCTAAATAAAATCATTGAAAATAACTATGTTATTTTATTTCTTCTTCGTATTGTCAGTGTAAATTTTGCCTGTCCATTTAGCCTAGGAATGAAGTTTGAGAGAGATTTTGATCCCACTTAGTAAACAATTAGTAATAAACTTCACATTTTAATGACTATAAATACAGAAAGGATCTCTGTTGTGATTATACAAGTCGGTAGATCATCCAAGTGGTATGAACTGACTCGGCACTCCTAGATAAGTCAAACTGTGTAGATCACTAGTGAGCTCAGCCCCAAATCTAGCGAAATGACTGTCCAGTGTCTGGATCACCTCGGTCTAACTAGGAAGCACTACGGGTTGTCATGAGTGTGATATGTAGACAGATACACAATGGATTATTCTTTATTGGTGATATAACGATCAAGGTCAGCCTGTAAATAAACCAATCAGAATTGGCCCACCTAAAATAACGCCCGCTATTTTATTGATCATGATTACAGATTAATTGACTTATCCTTTATAATTTTTCAAATAGTACATTATTGTGTAAAAATATACTGTAGCTTATCGGACTAACATCGTTGTGTATTTTTTTTAAGTAGAGCAGGCTGCCGTACAGATAGCTACCGTATAAAATATCTGGTGTAATCAAGGGGAATTCGTGCGTTGGTAGCACAGCGGTAGGATGCCTGCCGATTATGTATGTGGTTCGAGGTTCGATCCCCAGCCGACGTACTCCTTTACCTCAACCAGCCAGTTATAAGACTGGTAAAGAGGGAAGGCTGATATGGGGATAGCAACCCCATCCGGCAAAGGAAACACCACTGTTACCGAAACTTCATAGCCATAGCTTGAAGCCATATGTTCCACTGGGGACGTACAAGAACAAAACAAAATAAGCGCCACTGGCGATAAAGCGAGCCTGTGTCCAACTTGTCATCCCTATTTCAATGTCACAGTTATTGTGGAAGATAGAAGTGGTGATGTCATAACAGAGTGGTACATAATTACTCACCTCAGTCAATCAGTAGTACGCAGTTTCATGCAAGTCTTCTATATTTTCTCTCTGAAATAATGTACCCTTTCGCATTCTGTAATTTTCCTTATTTATATGCATATGTTCGGTTTTTACAGTCAACCAATCAAACACATGCCCTATAGTTTACTTCGCTTAAACACCCAAAAGTTAAAAGCAGAAAAAATTGAGAACTGTTTTTTCAAGTGGTGCTTTGCTGGCATTTGATTGGATACAGGTTTGAGGATGAGTTAAAATTAGTTAGAAAACAATCAGAAAACCAGCAGGGAGCACGGGACAACTGTCTCATCCTAACTGGGGACTCTGCAATAGTATGCACCTGTAACTAATAAAATCCTGGCAAAACAACGCTTTAAAACCAATGTGATGCTCACTAGTGACTGGCTCAATATAGGTAGCTATATGGCGTTCAGGTGGGAAGTCGTAATCAGCTGGGTCCATCTAGTCAGGTAGGGGATCATTTACTCGCCTATGAAACTGGTTAGCGTTTGCACTAAGCATATATCAAGAATTGGCAGACACCAGAATTCATACACGAGTTTGCCTTGCAGTCGGGACGTCTTGCGTTCGAACCTTGACAGTAGGTCCTTACCGTTGAAGACAAAAGAGCTGTTCAGTATTCCCAACTGGTTTTCTAATGGTTCTCTAAATGATGTCATCTCGTCAAGATCAAACCTGTGACGTCAAATTAACAACTGATACTTGTATTTCAAATAAAACTCTTGCTACATGGTCATTTATATAAAATCATCATTTTCCTTTTGATTGGACACTAACTATTGTCATGACTGTAGCCCTTTTTCTACCACAGACTGAATTCTATCAGTCAAGTTTGCAATGTGGGCACCATGCCATTACGGTACACTCAGCGTTACTGTTATTAGATAGCTGAAGGCAATCAGCAGGAAGCCCAACCTGACCTCGGTTTTGTGCTTGTTGAAATTTTCACCAGTCACCAAAGCGTATCTCCAATCAGCTTCAAGGAACTCATGTCTCTTCTGAGATTCAAACCCGTATCACCCAGCGCTGCAGTCAGAGTGTACCGTGATGGTGAGCCACCTAGTGGTATGGTGGCCACATTGCAAACTTGACTGATAGAATTCAGTCTGTGGTAGACAAAGGACTACAGTCATGACGATAGTTAGTGTCCAATCAAAAGTATCTCATACACTCCTACAGGTGGTCAATCGCGAGCCGAAATAACTCAATAGTAAGGTCTCTAACTTTAGTACTAAGTGACATGGGTTCGAATCTCAGAAGGCAGGACATGAGTTCCTTTCAAGACTGCAGACACGCCATGCTGACTGGTGAGTAGCAAGCCGCTTCCTCCAATCATCTAATCACCATCTTGCTGTTTAATAGAATTCAATTTTGCCTCCATAAGTTATATAAAAATAAAACAAAATTGTAACACTGAATAGACAGTTTGAAATACATATGAATGGCAAGAGAAAAAGTGCATAAACCTCTTTAAACAATCAACTAACTGATTACTCTACTTTTAGTCTATTTGCTAAATTTTTAAAACTTATAAACTGGAAATGTCAGCCAAAGATGTATATATATATATAAATACTGCTTTGGAAAGTATCTAGTCAAGCAGAGATTTTGAAAAAAAATACAACTTAGAATGAAGAAGAGAAGTAGTGGTAGTATTAGTAGGAGGAGGATTTTTTTCCCGAAAAATATCACTTACATAAGTAGGATGAAGGCGACAGAGACAGACAAGTCACACAGTATTCGATAATTTAGGAGCAGACGAAGAAGGATAAAGGAGGAGAAATTGATTCTACTTTCAGTGTAACTAGTTACTGGAAATGAAGATGATTTCCTCAACTTAATCACTCTCTTCCTTTATTTTTCATCTTCTAGTCTTTGGATTTTCTTCCATTTTTTCTCTTTTCTTTTTGTTGCTTAGATGCTTTTCACCTCATTTTTCTTTGCTGAAATTGAAAGTGATTCGAAGAGAGAGGAAAAAAATAGCAGGGAGCGAATGAAGTGTTGAGTGTTTCACACGCTCACTGTGTTCTATGATTGATGAGGTCAATCACTGGAGATAATGTTAAGTGTGCAAAAATAATTTAGTTACATTTTATGCATGCGGTAGAAAACAAAACCTCTAAGAAAAGAAGTGAACAGGAAAAAGTCTCTTTTACGCGTTAGCTTTATTTTACATTGTCTGTTTGTATGTTAACTGAAGCAGTACTTACGGTAGTAATAGTAGTAGTAGTAGTAGTAGTAGTAGTAGTAGTAGTAGTAGTAGTAGTAGTAGTAGTAGTAGTAGTAGTAGTAGTAGTAGAAGTAATACAAGTAGCCAAGAAGGACGAGATAGTGGGAAAGCTTTCTACTACTCTGGTGGTCATAGTCGAAAGAATTATTTCTCCGGCTTTCACATGAAGCGATTTCATTTAGTGAAACATTGGAAACCAAAGAGTACTGGCTGTAGATGTTTCATTCTTGATTTTAGGAATCCTCACTAGTATGTATCCGAGACTGTGCCGCTGATCGCCGAACCCAGGGCGTTCTGGTTACTGCAGGAGCTTGGTTACCATTCAGCCATTGGGATGAAATTCATTTTGGTATTTACACCTTGTTTAGTAGAGTTCGTGAGTCGGTGGCACAGCGGTAGAATGCTCACCAACCACGCAGGTGGTTTGCGGTTCGATCCTCGGCCACCGAGGCACTACTTTACCTCACTAAGCCAGAATTAGGACTGGTAAAGAGGGAAGGTTAAGCATGAGGCTAGCAACCCCATCCTGTAAAATAAACACTGCTACAGAAACTTCAAGTCATTAGCTTGAAGCCCTATGTTCCACTGGGGAACGTGAAGGAAAAAAAACACTCAGGTTAAACTTGACGGCCTAGCGCTCGGTGTCACTTAATGGTCAAATCCATCTGGATCTACTCCTGCATATTTCTTGGTTCGTTGCTAGAGTTCGTTGTAGTCGACCATCTGATCTTTAGTATAGGTAAAAAAGGCAGCTGCAGTTGAAAATCTGAGTTAGCCAGTTGGAAATACTTTTTGGGGACACGTCAAGTCTCTGAATCAGATTGAAGAATTGTTTCGACATTAGTGGTGGAAACCCAAATCTTGTTCCGTATGCCAAGTGCATTAGTCTTACAGACTAATGAAGGTTTGTCCTGTTTCTCCTTTCCTGACTGGCTTTGATATCTTCATTCGTTCCAACTGCCTGCAGTTGAAACGATGGTGCCTAAATAAGTGAGACAGACAGTCTCCTTCAAATTTCTCCCGCTGGTAGTGATTGGTGCTTTTGTTGTTGTTGTTGTCAGTTACATATCTTCATCGCCTCTTTGCTCTCCATGTTCACTTCAAGTCTTCTCTGCCTTATTCTTCTGCTAACTTTATGGTTTTCGCCCGCAGGTCTAAGTAACATTTAGTGATAACATACTCTCTACTCTTAATATTTCATTCGACTTTAAGATTACAAATGCTGGTCTAGATTTTACGAGACTCCTTATTCAGCAATGAAAATTACAAATCCGACTTAGTTCTTCATTACTCTTTTTGAGGCAGTTTGCAACCTGGAAAACTTTTCTCCGCATACCTTAAATTTTACCTCTATTTAGTATAATTTACTTTAATTTTGAAGCTTATATAGTTTGTCCAAGGATGCATATGGCTACATTTTTTTGATGAGTATCAGAAGCCTTAGATCTAGATTCTAAGTAAAAAAAGTAATCAGCCATAAAGTTTCTTAGAACTTTTAGATTTTACCTTTCTATGGTAATTTTGATCACAACCTCAATTTATTTTCAAGTTACTTAAAATTGAAAATAACGGATGGCTTCAAATAAGCTGTGAAGCCTCATTGATTGACATGGATAGGACACGTGTTGCTAATATCCAGCCACTCAATCTTAGCTGACATAGGATCCATCAGGTTGGAAAAGAGCTAGCGGTGGTCAAAAAACATGGCTTCATCATTTAGTTTACGCCATGTTTGGAGATGTAGACTTCTAAGAACCATCAGCTGGTGACAATTGGTGATATGGCTCAAAATCGTCCCGTGTGGCGCAGATACATCCACTCTATGTGATCTCCCGTGTCGATTAAACTCTCTTGTTTTCCCAAATTTACCATTCTTTCTCTCTTTTGTGTTACTTTGTATGCTTCATGGAGTGTGGCGACTCTAATTGATGCACTTCCGCAAAATCTAAATTCAGAACAGATTTCGTCACGTTGATTCTACATTGAAAATGACTGAATCAACACAAGTGTTTATTCCTGACGAAGCACAAGGCATACCTCCTCGATCTCTAATGAAAAATAGGGTCGTTCACGTAGGTTATAATGATAGATACTCAGATAGCGTTGAATTTTGGTAGCAGTACATTGTGAACTGAGAAATATTAGAATTCATGAGATGCTAGATTTTGACCCAGTGGCTGAATGAAAATATGTTTGTTTTGTGACACGAAGATTCCAGATGTGATTACTAGCCGGTTCAGTGATACATGCTGTTGAATAGTTTCAGTTTTGAATGAAACAAATGTCTAGTACCCCATGGTCTTCAGTGGGTATTTTTAACGCAAAAGCCCAACATTTGAAGAGTGAAAGTTATCGTCACTAAACTTGACTTTGGAAGAAGATTTAATACTCAAACCAGTATTACCCACGTCAGCAGTCAGAGATGTCACCATTAAGCTAATCGGGTCCGCAATTACCATTCCGTAGGACTTCAACTAATACTTTCATCTGATAATAGGCAGAGTAACTAATGTCATTCGTCCAATTCTTGATTTTGTCATAGATTGAATTCCACTAGTCATGTTTGAAATGTGGTCATTATGCCACCAGATGGCGTTCCATCACGGTACACTCTGAACTGCTGTTAGATAGTTTAATGTTGCCGACATGAAGCCTTTCTCCATCTCAGTTCTACATGTAGACAGTTGTGAGCCCAAATAACTCAATGGTAACGTCTCTATCTGCAGAATTGGGTGAGATGGGTTTGAATCTCAGAAGGCAGGACATGACTTCCTACATCAATCCAAATAAACCTTCCTGACTACTTCCAAGAGTATGAAACCTAAGTCCAAACCTTCCTTCCGACTGCGTCCAACTATGGAAACGGCAATTCGGAAGGTATCATGATGGCTATATTGTAAACTTGACTAATATGTTTCCGTCTAAACCAGCATCACGGACCAGACGCCAGGACACTGAAATTATGGCACCTAGATAAGTAAAATAAGTGACCTCTTTGAAATTTCATCCGTTGATAGTGATTGGTGTGTTTTTTAGTTTTTTGGTTAGTTGGTTATTTTTATCGCCTCTGTCTTCTCTCTGCTCACTTGATGTCCTGTCTCTGTTGCCAGCTTTTTCTGTCAGTTTGTTGGTTTTCGCCTGTAAGTTTTTGAGTTTGTGTGACATAAGTCGTTGATGAAGTCCGGATCTTCTAGAATCTTCTTATCCGTCTCACATATTCCTGTCTTATCGCTTACCAGAGTCTTTCGCATAATCTAGCCCACCACAGTTAGGAATTTCATCGTGGGAGATAGTAGGTGACCTTGCCTTACTCCTGTCTTTACCGAGTTTTCCGTTCCGAGTAGCTTGACATGTGGTATTGTTATATAGCTGGTGAATGCAGTTAATAAAGGTTGATGACACTCCGAAGTGTTAAAGTATTTTCCAAATCCTTTCGCGGTCGACGCTGGCGAACGTCTTTCCAAAGTCAATGAAGTTGAGATAGGGGTTTGACTACTGTTCTATGCTTTGTTCGATGACTATGCGTTGAGTTCCAATTTGATCCGTATATGATTTTTTTTTCCTGAATCCACGCTGTTACAGTCGACAGAGTTTAACACCCAGGTATTACAAAAACATTAAGGAATATTAATTCTTTGTAATTAATGACTCTATGATATTGTGCACACCTATGCCCTCACATGGAGTCGAATGGGAAAAATGTTGCGTCTTCATCAGAAGATGCACAAGAATGTCATTTCCTGAGTGGGAAATCTGAAGGTGCATGTCTTTTAACTTCAATCAATTGATGATATAATTTGAACAAATTCACCGATCCATTCGGTATTGAAATTTCACATGAAATTTCAAATAAGTGCGTAAAGGTAGACACAGTACCAGTCATGAAGTACCCTGTTCTCAAATGACCATTTCACAGGACTGGGACAGAATATTAGCCGTGATGACTAAAGTTTTTAATTTAGCTGTTATACCAACAAGACTTATCAATGAATAGCCAACACTACATTATAGTATATGCTGTCGCAGTGATATGAAACTATTATTGAAGGATGAAGAAAGATGAGACTTTATGCGTTTGTGTGTGTTTCTGTGTGACCACTAAGAAAGAAAATATTTCGATACATTGTAGTTAAAAAAAAGCTATTATTAACAAGAAGACTGATTAAATTATTGCCGAGATACTCTCAGGTTGCTTAGATACATTATTGAAGCTTTCATTTGCTCATAATTAAATTAGTCATTTTCACCGCCATGAACCGACATCATTTCCAGTTTCTCTTATTCTTTTAAAACCAGAGAAGTGTAGAAACCTCATGAACACATATCATTGAGGTGTGTGGATTATAGTCACACTCCAATAACAACCGTGTCCATTGTGACTTGCTTGACTTCAACTCTATTTTATGACGGATGTCAATTCATACCGAACGACATCTATCATGTAGTTAGTGTAGTCACCAGTAGTATATGAGATTTTCGGATAAATTCTCTGACACATTAGAAACGTAGTCAGTCACATATAGTCAGAATACATTTTCTGGCTGTTGAACACTATAATATGAAAATGCCTATTGATAGATTCAAGTTAAGTGATTACAGAGTTGATTCAGTATGCTCTCCGTCAAGATTGTATCAATAGAAAAAAAGATAGATCAGCTGTCACGCATACATCAAAGTATTGTCAAACAAGTCATTATCTCTGTGCGCGTGTGCATTTCTGTGTGTGTGGGGTGTGGGCATGGGAATGTTGTTTTCTACAAATTACAAAAAACAAACACAACACCGACTTCAGTTATTTATCTGACATGACCTACAATTAAGACTTGACAATGAGCAACACTCATCTGAATCGGAATACATTTCGGTTTATTAACTGTTGTAGAGTAAATTACTGGAAATTTGTTTGAAGTTTTAACACGGATTGATGTCAGTTGAAGAACCAGTGAAAATCAGCAGGGAGTATTGAAAAGATGTTTCAACCCAGTCTGGGAGTCATTGGCAGTACCCACCCAGGACCTTCCGGTGACAAGTGAAGCTCATAGGCTATTCAGTCACTGGGACTCGATCCAGTAGCCCATGAATTCCAGCTTTTATCAATTCGTGATTTTAGTGCAACTGGCACAATCCAATTTG